GATATTGTTTTATTGTTATGATATTACAAGTTACTGTTATTACGTTACAACATCCTTTGCACGTGCACAGCTGTTAGTAACACGAAGGCTTTCGTAAGATTTCGTGAGTTCGAGCGACATTGAACGATCTATTGTTCGGAGACAGAACCGTGGATTGGCGCCTTTTAAGTATACAGCGTAGGTACACTCACAGCTAATGCACAGAAAAATACCTAATCTACCTAGATAATGTCGATATCGAGACTCTAGATCGTGTTCGTTAGAAGGTCACTCGTATGCCTAGTTTTGATTTGGTTTCCAACCTCGTGTGCAAATGGTAGTGTGATTGGCAACTCAGGGTGATGAAAAAATATGTAAATGTTAATATTGTAATAAAATACAATCTAAGTATTTGATCTTCTGTCTGATTCGTTTGTTATTTCTACATTTCTCGCGATATTCATTTTGACAAAATATTGGAAAGTAAATAATATTCTTTTAGGCAATAAGTTTAATAAATATTTATGTTATTAATCTTAAATACAATCATTCGTATTGAATATAAATCGTTAACGCGTTGATAACGTATTGCAGATTTTCAATGAGATTGCCAAGGAGATGAAATTTTTGCAATATTTAAAAGATTATTTTCTCCAATTACGGTATGCAATTTTGTATAAGTACATTAACTAGACATCGTCTGGTGGTCTAATTACGAAATTTCATTTTATTTGCCAATATAACTTAAACTACTTTCGTATAGCTTTCCCTACCATGACAGGCCAATGTGGCACTTGATATAGATATATTCAGGTGTTCTTCAATTTGTAGCACGTGTTGTTTAAATATTATAGCTTTCTGTACTTATCGATCACTAGTTTTTCTAAATAGGCGACTTTTAGTTTTGTAAATATTAACTGGTATTATTTACATACGTGTTCTATTATTTTAATATACTTGTTTATTGAGTAGTATGTGTTTTATAGAGCATTATGTATATACGTATAACGGTTCCGGATATGTCAGAATCTACACATTTTGCCATTGTGACAGAAACACCTGCTATGTCCTGATATAACTGAAAAAAAACTAAACTTCTTTGCGGTTCGAGTCCTAAAAGTCTGGAATAAAACCTCTGCCTGTTTTTGTTGTTCTAGACAGTTCTAATCCAATAATGTTCAAAAGTGGAGGTTCATCTTAGGCATATATTTATTTACGTTTATGCTCTTCACGACATCATTTCAAACAGATAAAGATAAAAACCTATTCCATTTATTAATAAATAAAAAAGTGACATCTAATTATATCATATTGGTCGTTGGCCAAAACCTTTCTAAGGAGAGGCTTATATCCAGCAGTGGACTATTAAAGGCTGTTGATGATGATGGTCGTATGTTAAGTCATATTTGGAAAAAAAACATACGCAGAGAGAATTCTAGGAATCCCTTTCTTAGCAAACTTTGGAAGTGTAGAATGCTAAAATTTAATAAATGTGATAATTAAAAGTAGATTCTGATAAGTACATTAAATTAAATCATCTGACAAAGACGTGAAAGGCAAATCACTATTAAAAAAAATGTTATTGCAAAGAAAAAAAAATGAGCTTAGGGTTCATTATACTATTTATAAAAGAAACGTTACAAAAAAATCTTGTAATTAATCAGCAGGAAAGTAAATATGCACATATAATCTCATTTATTTATATGTGCATATTTACTTTCCTGCAGTAAAACTGAAAAGTGAAGACTAAGAATATAATTGGAAACCGTTGTGTCGAAACCGATGTGATCACAGTAATTGCTAAGCGGACGATATAATTTCACGTGCTCACTGCAGCTGAACGATTCTTCGCACAATGGGACGACGTGTCCACATTTGGATATAACTGTTTATGTTCTATTCGTAGGAACTGACAATTTGGTTAATGGACTAATGAGGAGTTTACGATACAAATTTAGATTACATAAAATATTAACACATAAATATAGGTATATGATGGTATAATTTTATGTTAAAGTCATCGAATCGTTTTGTTTTACAAGAAGGATATATATAGAATAAGTGGCCTAACCGTGGTGTGCTTAGAGCCATGCTTAAATAGGTCGCCTCGGAATCGTTATTAAAATGTTAATTATTAATCGTTATTAATCGTTTAAATGTTATTAAAGTTTATCGGATGGGGTACTTTAAAGATATTTTATAATATAGTGACTTTACTTTTACCAATATCAGTCAGTAAAATATTTACAACTATTGACATTTAGTACCCCACGCTGTTTTACGATAAAATGTTTTTTCTTAATCACTTTATTTTTTAATTTATAGTAAATTATTGTTTAGGTACTTTTTAGTTCGGCTAGTTACAAAACCGTGTTTTTTTAACTAATATTTATTTAAATTACTTATAAAATAGAAATGTATGACGTTGATTAAATTATAGTTTTTTTTTTTTTATAATGTATTTAGTTATTGAGTGACTAAACACATAACACATTAACAAAATACAACTTATTATTGTCGTGGTGATAAGTAGTAAATATATATATCACAATGCCACACACAGCGTATATAAAAATATCAATAAATTTATAAAATTCAACACCACTACGCGTTGAAATCTTTGTAACGGCATACCTGTACATCATGTTTTTTTTTGTAAATTAACATACCGTAATCATGTTAAAAAAAATGTCAAAAAAACTCATCCGTGGTTCATTTTTTTGGAGGAAATAAGTACAAGTGCGAATTATTAATTATGATAAACACCTACATAATAAGAACACGGTATTCAAAGTACTTTTGAGTCGTTTACTAATTACTACAAATGGACCTACAAACCGGTATGTTTATAGATATTGGTGAAATTAATATTCATACTTAGTCCAGTTGAAGACAATAGCGAAGCACTGGGCTACGTGGTGTACGCGTCTTCAGTAGTTATTGCGATTGCACCGTTCGCTGTCCTCATAGCAATCGAGTTCCACTATACAGCTCGGACATTGCGATCGAACTTAGAACATTGTATTATCGATCAACTTTCTAGTGACGTGATTATTAATTAATTTATACTTTAAATAATGTGTTAGTTTATAAATCATGACAATATGAGTGAATACAGTCGAAAAAACTATGAACGAGATGACGCAGAGCCTTTATACGTACCAAATAATAACAATTCAATATACAGCAATGGAACCTTGCATTACTGTAGCATATACAGGTAAGATATGCAAATCAATTAATTAAAAGGTTGCGTTTCAGTTGCGATTTCAACGAGTTGATTAAATTTAAATGTAACGTGTGTTAATTTGTGTTATAATATACATCACAAATGAAACTGTAATTTTATCACTATTATGACGTTTTATTGTTTACTTTTCTAATGTAGTTAAATGTCAATAAACTTATTTTAGTTTGCCATCGATTTCATTGTGGAAGTTAGAAAATTAATGAGGAAGTCTACGATCTTTATAGTTGACATAAAATATAAAACCTCTTTATATGAGTCGATATTGAACAATTTTAGCCCACTGTGTTGTATACTTTATCTTTGATAAAACCATTTGTTTGATTTATTTTATAATGACTTTAAGATAAAACATTTAATAACCTATCCCGCAACTGGCAGAATAATTATTTAAAATGTTAAGAAAAATTAGTTATGGTTGTTGTACTTTTTTCAATTGTAATTCTAGTAAAACATTGAACTATTTGTAGCATTATTTTCATACCACCTACATAAATGAAGTAATCTAGTTATTCTACATGTTATGTTCTACTCACTTTAGTTATGGCGGCGTTACGCATAACTTAATTGTGTTCAATCAACAACTTTCTAATGCCTTACTTGGATAAAAGATCCGTTCTGTCATAACAATGTTGTAGTTCATCGTATAGGTGTTAGAGTATTGAACTGCAACATCAGGGTCGAGTCGATTCTAGCTCAGTGCAATTATTTGTGTATTAAAACGCCCGATTTCATTTGATTGGATATTTTTCGCTTCTTTATCCTAGAATCTCTACTACAGCTTAGTTTGAGTAGAAATAACGCAATTAATTATATTCCATTCCATATTATTTACTTAATTGTAGAATAATGTAAGATAGACTATCTAATATAAGATAAATTCAAGTAAGCCGCAACAGGTTTTTGACGATATAGTGCTATCCGATAGAAATTATTCGTATAAACACACCTCTTTTCGATGGATTGTTGACAAAGTTGGTGTTATGAAGTAAATAAAATACAAGTGTACGAATTTTACGACACAACACGGTCACATTTGGCCGGTAATTGGGTCACCTACCACCTTACTCGTGAGTTGATTACCTTACGTAAACCCCACTGTCATAACCAGTGCGGTGCATAATGTGTTGAAACGCAAGGGATTTCTATCCGCGTGAACATACTTCGCACGCGAAGGTCGCAATCGCGAAATACTTCGGAAGGAAGTATCCGCCAACAAAGTAACTGCACAAGATTTCTCTGTCACTGTGTAGCGTGTGAAAGTAGTTTTTCTCGAGTCAATGTTGATTCTACTTTTAGCAGGTTTCTGTTTTGATGAATTCTTTCGTGTCTTCGTGTACAACATTTTATCTCTTTGTTTTTAAAATACCTACAGTTGTAGATCGGCACTAGGAATATATCCCGTGTCGCGCGGGACTTTACAAACATACATGACGGAACACGGAAAACGGACACAAAGAACACCCAGACTCAGAACAATAATTTTTGGATCACACAAAGTATTGTCCTATGTGGGGATCGAACCCACAACACAGCACATTAGGCAGTGGCGAGGTGACCGCTTAAACCACTACGCCATCCGTGCAGTCATTTTATGTTCACATTTTTGTTTATGTTTATCGACTTCAAATCATCTAAAATAGCTTAGAACTCACTGAAATTTTCCAACGTTTGTATCTATTTCTAATCTCTTTACCTAGCTATATCATGCAATGCATTTCAAGATTGATTTGATTTTACTTTGTGTATTTATATAAAACTTTTTTTATTACAGCCAGAGAACAGTACATGAAACGAAAGGATGGGACGTATTTCGAGAATTCCCACCGAAGCAAGACAGTGGGTCCATGGAGAGTCAGAAATGTTTGGAATTCACAGTCCGGTTATTGAAATTATTGGCTTACATAGTTGTCTTCGTAATGGTCCTCGGTTCCGGAGTCATAGCGAAGGGAACAATGCTTTTCATGACATCCCAATTAAAAAAAGATAAGCGACTAGCGTATTGTAATAGAAATTTAGGTAAGTTGTAACTTAATTATATTCCAAGATAAAAACGAATTTGGTGAGGTCCGAGGTTCAAAGAGCATGTTAAATTACTGTTAAATTTGGGATTTTTAGGCAAAATTTTCTTCATTTTTGTATAACACATAATTTCTTTAACTTTGTAGAAAGAAGTTTCATAATAGAGTTTGTGCAGACTTCATCTTATTCGAATAATGTGGTGTAGCTTCTGTAGTTTAAAGCATGAAATATGTTATTTTATCTCTTATGATAAACGGGAAGTGCTTTCCTAGTATTCGTATAAGGAATTAGGAATAATTAAGCTAGAACCGGTGTCCGATATCCGCTGCCTGGTGCGTGCGTGCCAGTTTCATTGCTTTCGACAAACTTAACGCTGTTGTTTTATTGACTCTGTTTAGTGATATTTCTTTATTTATGTTGTTAAACTTGATCGCGTTTATTTTACGCACAATCAAACTTTGACAATCGCCCTTAATCATTTCTAAACGCGAACGCAAAACAATCGTTTCAAAAAGTATTAAATGTAAATGTCACTTTACATATTATCATTTGAATTTAATTTATCTTAAGTTTTCTAGTTCTTAATACCATGCGATTCTTACAAGCATTATTCATTAAAACTCTTTTCTGCTGATGTTTGAATTGAATTACAACTTATTCGAATTTGGGCAATGATTTATCAAATGATTATTTAATGGGTGATGATCTCATGATTATAATGGAAGTAAATTGTTATCATTACCTATACGCCTAAGTAAACATTAAAGAAATTAAAGATGAAGAAATTCTTTGAACTATTAAAAAAGATTTTAAATGTTTTTAAGTTGTAAGTTATCCAAATTATTCTCTTTTAGTAATCTGAAGTATGTTCAATTTCTTAATTATTTTTCTAATTTAGACGCAGTACATTTTTTATTTGCATATCAAATGTTGGGATTTAAAACGATGTCAGAAACATTTACTTTTTCTTTTTTTTATGATAGATGGGACAGACGAGCAGACGGCTCACCTGATGCTTCAATGTCCATTAAGCATTTTTGATTTAAAGTGTTATTTAAATGGCTTTGATTACCGTATAATAATTTTTGGTCTGTTAGATCGCTTTATCCTTTATCATTGGTACCCTACTGGATCCAAAACTAGTCAGCCAGCCCCCAGGTTCACACGAGAGTGAAACCGCATGTCCTTAGTAAACATGAAAACTCTTTAAAGTTTTTATTCTAAATACATTCAAACGCTACCTGATATTAAAGGATTAAATAATAAAGCAGAATTATAAATATATACTATAATGTATTGTACGCAGGGAAGATAAGGAATTTAAAAAAAAAAACACATTTATGTTGCCATTATTATATAGAGAATTTGTCCAATGTTTTGTTAGTCATGACTTCAAACTTGGACATCCACACTTAAAAAAATAAATAAATGCATATTCCATAACTAAACGTGCTGAAATGATCAGTTTCCAGAAATTAGCTTAAAATGTAACCTTATTTTCTTGTTTTATTGTTTTTGATACTTCCAGGTTATAAAAACAAGCATAAAATATTTTACTCATTGTACGACAACAACTGAACAGTTATGGTATATTTAATCTAATTATGGCTTATATGTTTTCAGGTAGGGATAAACAATTTATAGTAAGTCTTCCAGATGAGGAGCGAGTAGCGTGGATGTGGGCCATACTTGCAGCGTTCGCAATCCCAGAGATAGGTACAATGATACGATCTGTAAGAATCTGTTTCTTCAAATCTTCTAAAAGGCCGACTAGCACACAATTTATTGTGGTAAGTATGTGTATATAAACTGAGTATAATGTATATCAGTAACGGTAGAATATAGCAGATTTCTCCGTTCATTATTCATTAGTCTGGTACCACTAAAGGAAGAATTAAAGAAATTAATAAGTATTTACATTACATTCAAAATTAAGGAAATTAATAAGTATTTACATAATTCAATTATTCATTATCATATATATACAGTGCGTACATATATGACAGCTAGTGACTTATGGCTTGTTACATAGAGTGCTAATATTGCGTACTATGGTTTATTCCGTTATTGGGTTGGAGAAGGATTATAATAGCGAAAGTTCATGAAAAATTAATGTCACCTAAAGAAATATTTCTATGTTTTATTATCAAAACTGGCACAATCTAGGTCATGTAGAAACATGCAGTTAGTCCAGAATGAAACTATTAACCTGTCTGTTTGGTTGCCCCATAAAAAAGTATTTTTTGGTGACCGAGTGTGTAAAATAAAGAAGAGATTTCACAGTCATAATTAAAACAATTCTTCTAATTATTATTTCACGTAAATGAATAGCTTAAATACGAGTATGCTCTTATTTTTCAGGTATTTGTAGCGGAGTCATTACACACAATAGGAATGGGGCTACTACTATTTATGATACTCCCAGAATTGGACGTTGTCAAAGGAGCAATGATTACTAATTGCATGTGCATTATCCCAGCGATACTTGGACTATTGTCGCGTAACTCGCGCGACTCCAAGCGGTTCATAAAAGTGATAGTGGACATGGCGGCGATAGTTGCGCAAGTAACCGGCTTTATTGGTTGGCCACTGTTGGAAAATAAACCGGTGTTATGGCTCATTCCTATTGCATCGTTATGTATTTCTGTGGGGTGGTGGGAGAACTACGTAACGCGGCAAAGTCCGATCGGTGAGTACGATCAGACACGAGTTTTGTTTTTAACGATCTTTTTTACTAGAAGTCCCTGAATGAGGGTGTTAAATACCTACTCCTACCTAGTATCAAACAAACAAACAAACATCTATATTTTACTGACAGGAATCCCATATGGTAGTTTCGTTATGGTGTAAAAATTATTCCGACATCTTCGCACCTATGGCCAATGATAACCAAATAAAAGAAATAAGGTGAAATAAGTAGATCGTTTTCAATAATTTAAAGGCATTTATGCATTAAAAAACCGTGGCACTCCAGGAGTGCCGACAGAAGCGAAAACTTGAACTTAAAATTTAAAAGCTTTGATTATAACAGGAATTTTTGTTTTCTTTTGACTCGAAAAGTTCCGACATGAATATATATCTATGTTGTACGTATATACACAATATATGTATTTATTATATATAGTTATATTATCAATGTATTTCAATCCAAACTCAACTCTCGTGTCTTGGGCCAATATATATAGATACTTATATACAGAGGTGTCGGTAACGGTAACAGTGTCGCGAGTTCAATGGTTTTTTTCCCATCTCAAAAAATACTTTTTCTGTTTGTTGTTCGAAAATGCCCAACGCGCGGACAGAAGGTTTTACTTCAATTAATATTCGTTGGATATTACGTTATTTATTCGTTTTATGCGATGCTATAAAAAACTCAAAGGACGAAGAGCGCAGAAAGAAGAGCCAGAAAGCGAGAAAAACGCAACGCCTCGGAAAAAGCTAGTTTAAAAGAAATAATGTGATAAAACTAAACAAATAGGATCATGACTTTTTACTGAACCTAAGGTTCTTGCCTAAGCGATACTCTCTAATTGCCAGTTCTTCAAGGATCATTCTATTTTACATAATAATTTTGTTAATTACTATTTCATAAGAAAAACGAAATGCATCGAAGTTTAGGCTGAGTATGTGTTAAAATACGTATCCTGCAGAGTTAGTTCATAATATAAACCTTGGATAACAAATTTTCAGTATCTGTTACGAATAGTTTTAAAAATATTAAGTTTGTTTAATAAAATATTGTTATCATTCACACTCAAAGCAACAATACCTTCAGTACCAAAATATTCATATGTACGATTAAAAGTTGATTTAAAGTATGTAATGTATGATTAAAAGTTAAGAGACGAAGAATACAGATTATTTTACGTTGATTTCAGCTCGTTGATTTTAGTTACACCTGATTTTAAATAGCTAAACCACTTTTATCTTTACCTATCTACTAATATTTTTTTCTAAATATTTTAAGAGTAAGCGTATATCCTACGCAATAGAGTGCAGAAACTACATTGTTGAGACATACACACATTTATTTTGTAGCTACCTTCTATGTTATTTAGTAGGTTTAGTGTATAACCTCGTATTTGCCCCTAATCATATTATTATTTTCAGGCGTTATCAAAAGTTTATCGAGATTGAAGGACGAATTAATTTTCACACGTTACTACATGTACCGGTTCATATCGGTATGGAAGATACTCTTATTCTTGGTGTGCATTCTATTTATGGTATGGATTGACGGCGACGATCCTTCAATGTTCTTCCAATTATTTAACGCTGGGTTCGGACCTCACAACATCGTTGTTGAAGAGGTATGTAGTTACCCTTATGTCACCATTCACACATAAATCATAGGCTTCATTAGACTGCCCAAAACCGGTGTTTAAGGTTACCGGTGGCCTTTTTCTAGAAACATCAATCATCCAGGAGTCACAACTTTGGAGTAGCGTAACTTTTGAGGTGGTATGGCTGTTTGCTTGCCTCCTATAAAATAACAATATTTATTTTAATGACATGTCAAATTATTAAAGTTTTGTTTAAATTGACTCTTATTTAAGCGCTTTATATTCGATTAACCCATGTAGATCAATATGACGTATTTATCTATTTGACAAAATCTCTATTATCTTTTAGAAGTTCGCAGTGTAACACAGTCCTAAGAACTTACACCATTATACAGGAATTTGATGTCACATTTCATTTTTATACATACGGATGTCATGTTTCAGAATCTCGCCTTTCATTTTTATTGTTTTATAGGTACAAACTCAACTAGGCGGCACAATCATTCCGGATTTGGGCAACGTAACGTTAACAGGAGATTCGGTGGAAGTGGCAGCGGCTTATAAATCAGCTGTTTACGTGATGCTCATACAAATATTTGCCGCATACATCTGTTACATCTTCGGAAAGTTTGCCTGCAAAATTCTAATCCAAGGCTTCAGTTATGCGTTCCCTATCAACTTAGTTATTCCCGTGGTGGTGAATTTATTGATAGCTGCGTGTGGTATCAGAAATGGCGATACTTGTTTTTTTCACGGCACCGTTCCGGATTATCTTTACTTTGAAAGTCCACCAGGTATGATTGTTTGACATTTCTTCTCTTTTCAAGTTCTTCGTTTTTTTTTTAATCATGCTGTAAACTTATGTAGTATTATAATAAAATGAAGACTGGTAAAATTATCGCCTACTATTTTTAAGAGTTGATTTAAGCGAATTTGTTTGAAAACAAATTTCACCCTACGACAGTTTTTTTGAAATTCTATTGAAGGCCAAAAACTCCTAGAGACTTTAATGTGTAACGAGTGTTTTGTTTTGCTTTGAATTTGAGAAGATTGAATTTGAACACATATGTACATTTACCAAATGCAAATTATATCTATATTTACTTTTTATTTTTCAGTATTTACACTAAGCGATTTCATATCACGTCAGATGGCCTGGGTCTGGTTACTTTGGTTGTTGTCACAAACATGGGTCACAATACACATTTGGACCCCTAAAGCAGAACGTTTAGCGTCCACCGAAAAATTGTTTGTAGTACCGATGTATAACGGTTTTCTTATAGATCAAAGCATGGCGCTTAACAGAAAGCGAAATGATCAGAGAGACGTAAAGACTGAGGTAAGTCTGCGTTATTTTATAACATGTCTACTAAATAATAATAACACTATATAACTTATAGCCCGCTGTAACCCGCGTTAAAAAAGTAACTTATAATGCTTTCAGGACCTCGCAGAAATCGAAAAAGAGAAAGGCGATGAGTATTATGAAACAATATCGGTTCACACAGATGCGACAGGTGCCTCACCCAAAGCAATCAAATCTTCGGACCAGATCACACGGATTTACGCATGCGCTACTATGTGGCACGAAACTAAGGACGAGATGATGGAGTTTTTGAAGTCTATCCTACGGTTGGATGAAGATCAGTGTGCTAGGAGAGTTGCACAAAAGTATTTGCGAGTAGTTGACCCTGATTACTACGAATTCGAAAGTAAGATTTCTTAACTATTATTGCGCATTCAGGGTAAAATAAACCCTTCAAACTAAGCTAAACGCTTGTTAGAAGTCGGTTCTCATTGCAATTGTTGTATATACAAAATGACGAGCATCATCAGTATCAGTCACCATAGACATCTTTATTATAGTATTACTTTTGATTGTAGTACCTAAAGGTATAATTACGATAAATTGCACATTCACTTACATTTCAAATGTCATAGTGCAAATTATTTCTTTTTCCTGGTCAAAATATTAACTCCAAATTATATTTATAGCTCACATATTCTTGGATGACGCCTTTGAAATATCAGACCACAGTGACGATGATTCCCAAGTAAATCGCTTCGTGAAACTTCTAGTGGATACCATCGACGAAGCTGCTTCCGAAGTTCATCAGACAATCATTCGCATTAGACCACCTAAGAAATATCCTGCGCCTTATGGAGGACGATTGACTTGGGTCCTACCAGGAAAGACTAAAATGATCTGTCATTTGAAAGACAAGGGCAAGATCCGTCATAGGAAACGTTGGTCTCAGGTAGCAAATTGATCTCTTATGTTGACATTTCAAGTAAATATAAAAACTTAAATTCTTGTATTTGTTCATTAGTATCATATTAAGATTCTTGTCGGATTCCAATTCTTTTTATCGTAAGTAGGCAAGGTCATTTTCAGGTTAGGGGATAATTTTTTAAATAATGTAGCTTGTACATAGTGTGGCGTGGCTGGAATATTTACATAATAAAATATACTACGATCAGTCTCCTTATTAATTATTTGCCGCGAATAATTAGCATAATTTGCTAGCAATTTAGTAACTAACATGTTATGATTAAATATTTGTCAAAAAGCGAAAATTTTTTAAACCGTTAGAGAAATTCGAAGTTACTTAGACCTCGTTGCTATTCAAGTTGTTTAGTACTTTAGGCAAAGGATGAGGAACATATAGTCCAAGATCCCAGAGCGATAAGACACAACTTATTTTCACATAAATGAAACCTCATGTTCTCAGTAGTGTCTTATGTGCTCAGAATACCTGCGCGCTTGTGGAGCTTGCCGAGTGACACCTGGGCAGGTACCAGGTGTGAAAGGTAACTAAAATTAATAGTTACCTAACTTAAATTTTCATAGCTGATTTTTAAATATATTTTGTAGAGTGTTATTATAAAGTTATACCATAAGCGTCAGACACTTTTCGTGGGCCAGTACTTTTGTCAGACGCTTTAAAGCTCTACAAAAAATAAATTAACTTAACTTATTTTTACATGTCTGACATTTAAATATGTTGTTCAGACAATTGTTACGAAGTTATATTTAATTAGTCAGACAAAATTGATTGACCAAACACAAATTGTTGACCTAAACAGCAAAATTATTCTGCCGTGAGTATGAGCGCGAAAGCATTATAGGTGCGTTTCGGAGCGAGTTAGACGGTCTTACGAACTCAGTTCCCCTTCTCTCATTCGTGTAATTCTTCTGTGTATTGTGTATGTGTCCTTTGGGTACAACCTAATAGTATACAGTATAGTTTGGATCTGTGAGACCACATGTTTTTGTTGTTTACGTCGTGTGATTTGTGAGTTATTCACATTACTTATTAACGTGAAAATCATGGAAGAAACAGAACCAGCAAAATTAACGTGTACATTTTGTGAAAAATCTAGTGATAAATTAATATTATTTACCGAGATAACATTAAAAAAGTGTAAAATTATTTTACAACAGCGAGTGACACATAACCTTAAATTTAAAGACGTAGTTTTACCTGAAGATTTATATGATAAAGGTTATCATCGGGAATGCTATAAAAATTTTACTGCTCTGCCCAAAAAATATTATTCTGAGATTCCAGAAAAAACTAAAATCAGTAAAAATAAAAGTTCTCCGAGCATTGTTGACAAACCATTTGTTGCATCGACATCAATTTTACCTAGTAGTACAAGTACTAATAGTGATCCATCCACAGCATCTACCTCAACTGAACAAAATAATTCTACTGTTGCCGATTCAGATTTAGTGTCCAACTCAATTTCAGCTAGTGCTACTCTTGAACCTTTTGTAATATCTGAGCCAAATGTCGATCAAGGTATTGAATTTGAATCAGTTGAACCGGTGTCTTGTAATTCTGGAGATTCTTGTGTGGCAGGTGAAAATGATTTTCATTTGTCTACCAATCAAGTCCCATTTGAAAATAATATAAATAATGACGATAATGAAAAGTGTATATTTTGTGATAGAAAAACTAAAAGACATAAATTAAAAAGACTCCCATTGCATACGTGCAATAAATATGATTTTTTTTTAAATTAAATGAAGAAGACTCCGCGGAATTTATAGAGAAAGTGCAAGATGTACTAGAGTCAACAATCTATTATCACCAAAAATGTCAATTGGAATATTTCTATCAAATATCGTCAACGAAGAATACTGTTCAAACGTCTTGGCATGATCTTCGTCAACACCATCAAGCTGTTTTTGATGAAATTTGCAATTTTATTCAGCAAAATGTCATCGAAAAAGGTCGATGTTATTTTCTCACCTATCTCCACAGATATTATTTAGAATTATTCGACGACAAAATAGATAACTCTAAAAATATTATGGGCAATTTTACTCCTCAAAACTTGGAGAGTAAAATAACCAAAACATTTTCGAAGGAGATTAAGTTTATGATGTGTCAAAACAAAAAGCTACTTGCTCCAAAAAATATTTCTGTAATTGATGAGGAGTTATTAGAAATCATAAAGGATCAGGACATTATTAATAAAGCTGCTTTAATATTAAGAAAATCAGTGTTAAAAGTTGATAAAAAAAAATTGCCCAATAATTTATCCGTAGAGGACCTTGAAAATGGTGAAATTTCAGTGCCAGAAGACCTATCCCAGTTTTATTCGACTCTTATTGCGGGAAGTAACAACAAACGAAAAACCAATGATAAATGTGTTCGGATAGTTGAATCTTTGAGCCAGGATGCTGTATATGCCATTTTTAATGGCAAATACAAAACGTCGAAACACATCAAGCTTGGAATAGCTTTAAAAAGCTTAACAAGTAGTCGTAATATAATCGATATTATCCACAGATATGGCCATTGTATTAGCTATCCAGGTGTTGAGGAGCTGGAAACTGAAACCACTTATTATGCTATGAAGAAATCATCTAGATGTCCTGAAGCAATAAAAAAAAATCCGAATCTATGTACTGGAGTGGCGTTTGATAATTTTGATAGGTTTGTGGAAACTAAAAGCGGGAAAGACACGTTACATGATACCGTCGGTATAATTTATCAAAACGAGGACTCAAATGCTTCACATGAATTGGACACTCCACATCTGTCTTCTGTCGCCAGCGAAGAATCATCACCACCGAGAAAACGACGACGAAGAACACTAGAGGTTACTGAGGTAGAAGCTACACCATACATGAAAAAACCCAAAATGACAGAAACTTTACAAGTTTCTGTTCATGAAGCTGAAGAAACACCGCCTAAAAATTTGCAATTATACAAATCGATTGATGTAGTCTGGATGTTAAGTCATGTATACAATTTATCAAATCTTCCAATGTGGGTCGGCTACAATTGTTTAATAAGCAATAATGAAAATAATCCAAAGCAAGTGGTTTCGTATCTAACTCCAATCAATCTATCGCCCACAAACACATCGGTTGTTTTGGAAACCATGGAGCAAAGCTTAAAAATTTGTAATGAGCTTCGCCAATCCTGCATTCAAGTTACTTATGATCTTGCAATAGCAAAGGTAGCCTTACAAATTCAATCTACCGAAGCACCTAAGTTTGACAATTTATTTATCCATTTGGGACCATTCCACATCATGATGTCATATTTTAAAGCTGTAGGAAAATTTATAGCCGATTGCGGCTTGTCCAACGTCATGGTGCAAAGTGGTTTGCTAGCTTCGGGGTCAGTTGCTGGATTTCAGGATGGCAAACACTTCAATCGGTGTAAGAGGCTTCATCCGTTGATGTCTTTAGGTCTACAAATTTTACATTTTAAATCTTTCTTAGATATTAATAATGTAGAAGTATCAAGTGAAAGTATTGAAGAAATTACGCGTCTACAAAATACTCCAATGTCATCTTTTGAAATTGAAAATGATGAGTTAAAACAACTATTAAATAGTTATGACGTTTACAAACAGCAGACTCTGAACGGTGAACATGGAAAAACACCACAATTTTATTTAATATATATAAACCTGATCGACTATTATTTAACTCTATCCAGAAGTATTCGTATTGGAGATTTTGACCTGTTCAAGTACATACTACCCAAGATTACAAATTTGTTTTTTATCTTTAATCAACCTAACTATGCTCGTTGGACTGTTAGATATTGCTCAAATTTATTGAACGTTTCTGAAACTCATCCTAATCTGTATGAAGAATTCCAAGAAGGTTTTTTCAGTATTCGAAGAACCAATAAACCTTTTTCTAAACAACCAATTGATCTAGTTCTTGAGCAAACAATAAACGCTGATGCAGCTAGGAAACTAACTGGAATAATACATTTTACCAATTCTATTTCTGCACGTCAACGGTGGGCCCGAAGTCATGATATCAGATCCACAATAATTAGTTCTGTTTATAAAGATTTGGACCTTCAAAAGGATCAAGACGTTTCGGCCGAACTCACTAATCATGCTATAAAAAACAATGCTAAGCAGTTGCGAAAATTTGTTGAAACTTTTGATTTATTCATAAACCCATTTGACTCACAAGTGCCAAAAGATCTGTTAATTAATATTTCATCGGGTAAAGCTGCGTCGGAACCAGTAGAAAAATTTTTGCTTAACGTCGAAAAAAATGGTGAAGCTAAACGTCTAACTTTTATTGCTGAGTGTGAATTAAGTATTAGCAGATTCGAGAAAAGTATTCAGAAAACACCTATGGAAAACTTTACACTGGATTACTCTAAGAAGAAAAAAAGCAAATTAGGTGGTAAAATACAAGAGATAAGAATGCAAAAAGATTTGTTTGGGCGTATTCTTGGGATATCTTTAGATTACAAAGTTGATATAGAAAAAGTGTTGTCTTATCCAATTACTCCTATGCCATTATCCATGTGTCATAATGATGGAGCCATTTGTAAAACCCAGAAATCGTCTGTGATGAAATCTTTAGAGAATGGAGTAGAGCACATTGCACCTGATCGAGTTGATATTTTATTAATAGATGGTTTCTTTTTACTACATACTATGAAAAATGTCCCAAAAACATTCGGAGGTATCTCTAAAAAAATGCTCCTACTGGTAACACGGTTTGCAGCCACAAGATACGACGTTATTTTTGATCAATATCTATCTCCTTCGATCAAAGATTACGAAAGAGATCTTCGCCGAGAGTCGACTCAACTGGATTTTAACATTACTGGCCCCGATCAAGTTAGACCATCAGATTTTTTGAAAGAATTAAAAAATATTCATTTTAAAGAAGCCCTCGTAGAGTTTTTTATTCAACACTGGGCATCTGATGAAATGGTACCATTCGTTGAGAATAAACACATACTTATTAACTTTAAGCAATGTCATTCCTACGTAGTTGATGATAACAAAATTGTGTCAACTGTAGATGACAGTTTATCATGTCCAGAGCATGAAGAGGCAGACACAAAAATCGTCTTTCATATTTGTAATATTGACGTTCAGGCAAATTTTGTTGTAAGATGTTCTGATACCGATATAGCGATTATTATGTTAGGACATATGCATAATTTGAAAGACGATGGTTCCAATGTATGGTTAAACGCAGGCACCGGAAACAACCAAAGATATATTAATTTGACAAAAGTGTACGAGAACTTGGGATCATCTTTGTGTCGAAGTTTGCCAGGATTTCATGCATTAACCGGATGTGACTATAATCCTGCCTTTTTTAAAAAAGGTAAACAAAGACCATTTAAAATATTAATGAAGAGACCTGAGTATCGGCAAGCTTTTATGCACTTTGGTGATCCTGAATTATTAACCGATGAGCACAGACAAGAAGATATTTTCAAGACTATTCAAAAGTTTATCTGTGAAATCTATAGTGCTCCTGATACATACGATGTTAACGCTGCCCGTCTTCAGCTATTTTTAAATAATTACAGCGTATCTAATATAAATGAAGAATTTAACAGTAAAAATTTAAAAAAATTTGATGCAAGCAGCTTACCACCGTGTAAAACTGAGCTATTTCAACAATTTCTACGAGCTAATTACATTTCTAGCATATGGAATTATGCTCATGAAAAACAACCAACCATTTTTACTCCTGAACAAAATGGATGGAGGTTAGAGGAAAACCAGTTTCACTTTCATTGGTTTGATGGTGACCAATTACCAAGGGACGTTGGTGAATCTCTTCAACAATCAGGTACTATAATTAGAGTTCAAGATTAAAATTTATTTAACTAGTAATTTTATGTATTTTAATTCTTTTGATTATTTTTTGCAGAAGAAGATGTCAGCAACAACATAACTGATGACGATGAAGATGATGACTTAGTTGGACAGTATCGTGATTGGTTAAATGATGAAAATTCAAATAATTGTTATGATGATTGCGATGATTAAACAATAAAATAAATGCTTATTTTAATTAATTATGGGTAAATTTTTTTTTTACAAAAATGATTTTGTAAAAAAAAATAATTTCAAATGATATTTTTAACAATGAAAAAAAAAAAATTCTAAGAAAAAATAGCTCTGAACAGATTAATTATACCAGAAATATTAAATGAATTAATTTACTTTCATACTGACTAATTATTACGTTAATATTGAAATAGATATGCAAAAATTTTATATCGGAAGCTGTACCGTAAGTATTTTCATATATTTACTCTAAGACGCATGCGCATAATGCTTTCGCGCTCATACTCACGGCAGAATAATTTTGCTGTTTAGGGGGTGTTTGGTCAATCAATTTTGTCTGACTAATTAAATATAACTTCGTAACAATTGTCTGAACAACATATTTAAATGTCAGACATGTAAAAATAAGTTAAGTTAATTTATTTTTTGTAGAGCTTTAAAGCGTCTGACAAAAGTACTGGCCCACGAAAAGTGTCTGACGCTTATGGTATAACTTTATAATAACACTCTACAAAATATATTTAAAAATCAGCTATGAAAATTTAAGTTAGGTAACTATTAATTTTAGTTACCTTTCACACCTGGTACCTGCCCAGGTGTCACTCGGCAAGCTCCACAAGCGCGCAGGTATTCTGAGCACATAAGACACTACTGAGAACATGAGGTTTCATTTATGTGAAAATAAGTTGTGTCTTATCGCTCTGGGATCTTACTCTAATAGGATAGGATAGCATTCTGTCAGTTGTTAGTTTGCCACTTTAACTATTTAAAATTGTAATTTTGATATGTAACTTTTATTTCCTAAGGTGATGTACATGTACTACCTTCTCGGTCACCGTCTAATGGAACTACCGATATCTGTGGACCGTAAAGAAGTGATGGCTGAGAACACATTTTTGTTGACTCTGGACGGTGACATTGATTTCCAACCGCATGCGGTACGTCTGCTTATTGATTTGATGAAGAAGAATAAAAATCTGGGTGCTGCATGTGGCCGTATTCATCCTGTAGGTTCTGGTGAGTATCTATCTACGAAAGTAATGATGATGAGAATAATTATTTAAGTATATTTATAATATATCCGCATAGTCAGCGTACACAGATAGAATTATGTAATGATTCTGATTATCACTGCTGCGATGAATTTCCTTGACATACGGGCTTAATTTTGATATTTAAAAAAAACTGGATAAAATGTAATAAAATACCTAAATATACATATATTACGTACGCATTATTCTTAGGTCCCATGGTGTGGTATCAAATGTTTGAGTACGCTATCGGTCATTGGCTGCAAAAGGCGACAGAACATATGATTGGCTGCGTACTCTGTAGCCCTGGATGCTTCTCTCTATTCAGAGGAAAGGCCTTGATGGACGACAACGTCATGAAGAAATACACACTGCGATCAGACGAAGCTCGGCATTACGTACAATACGATCAAGGTAGAATATGTTATCAATATTTATTCTGACTTGCCTATTTTTAAGATTATTGACGATACTTTCATAAACGCCACCTCGAATTCAATGCAGTGCAGTGCACAGCTGGTAGAACTTAAGTCACTTTTTGTTCATCAATTCAACGTCTTCAAAATATTTTATTGACTATTAAGGACTACAGCAAGCATCACAAAATCAGTGGCCATAGCCAGTTGCAATTCTCGTACATTAATGTACTGACTGTATTCTTTAGAGGCCCACCTCACATTTGGACTTTTCCGATGAGCAATTAATAAAGCTCAATTTTGCAGATATAATTTAGACTAATGTACCTAACCATATCAATTAACACAGGGGAAGATCGTTGGTTGTGCACACTGTTATTGCAACGAGGCTACCGAGTAGAATACTCAGCTGCATCGGACGCATACACGCATTGTCCAGAAGGGTTCAGTGAGTTCTACAATCAACGTCGTCGCTGGGTGCCCTCCACTATCGCCAACATTATGGACTTGCTCGCTGACTACAAGCATACTATCAAGATAAACGATAACATTTCTAGTCCTTATATTGCATACCAGGTATGTTCTATTATATTGGCTTTAATTTAAATACGTCAAAGGAGAGATTGGCGTTTGTTTAAGAGAAAACATCATATATAGGGCTAGTAGGGCTTTATGAACTTCACGCTATTGTATGTATTAAAGTTAAATGATGAAATGCCCGAAGTGATCTGCTCTACACAAAATGTTTTGTTGCTTCGCTTTTAACGCCGAAATGTAGAAATATGTAACAAATGTCTAATAAGTTGTATTTTTTCGCAGATGATGTTGATGGGTGGTACGATCTTGGGTCCCGGCACTATATTCCTTATGTTGGTGGGTGCCTTCGTGGCTGCTTTCCGAATTGACAACTGGACATCTTTTGAATATAATCTGTATCCTATTGCGCTATTTATGTTCGTTTGCTTTACTATGAAATCCGAAATACAAGTGAGTATATTTTGAACTATTTATGTTTAAAGGCAAAAACAAGTACGCTTTAATGAAGAAAGCATTCCAGCATTATCCATTCTAGATTAAAATTTCCATGTTTTTCGAGATAGACTGACTAGTTTCAAACAGATCCCTCGATGGCTTCATAATTTTAATTGTTGTGGCTATTCCACACATTAGATCTACATGCGTAAAAATCTACTTCAATGTATTCTTTTTTACAGTTACTTGTGGCTCAAATTCTATCAACTGCATATGCCATGATAATGATGGCTGTGATCGTCGGTACAGCTCTGCAATTAGGCGAGGACGGCATAGGATCTCCTTCGGCCATTTTCTTAATATCACTCTCAAGTTCGTTCTTCATAGCCGCCTGTTTACATCCTCAAGAGTTTTGGTGCATCATCCATGGAGTCATTTACCTGTTGTCTATACCCTCTATGTACTTGCTTTTGATTTTATATTCAATTATAAATCTTAACGTAGTATCGTGGGGAACTCGAGAAGTGGCAGTGAAGAAAACAAAGAAGGTTTGTCTAGTTTTTCCCGTATTTAAACATTGGAAAAGTAACAATGAATCTATTTAAATAATAATTACTTAATTAGTTTATGTAATAATAAAAAAATCAAAGCTATCTATACTTTTTTAAACATTTCATAGGGCTGTTACAAAATTTGTTTTGCAGGAAATCCAACAAGAAAAGAAAGAGGCAGAGGAAGCTAAAAAGAAAGTTAAACAGAAGTCTCTATTAGGTTTTCTTCAAGGAGTTAACAGCAACGAAGAAGAAGGCTCTATTGAATTCTCGTTTGCTGGGTTGTTCAAATGTCTATTGTGTACACATCCTAAGGGAAGTGAAGAGAAAGTGCAACTGTTGCATATAGCGTCTACCTTGGAGAAATTGGAAAAGAAATTAGAAATTGTTGAAAGGTTAGTATTCATAACGAAAAATGGAAAAGAAATCTTTATTTATTTCTACTAACAGATACAATGTAATGTGTTTTTAGAGCAGTTGATCCCCACGGGTTAAGTAGAAGCCGCAAATTGTCAGTGGGACTTCGTGGCAGTACGAGTGGGGACCATCAGTTAGACGCATTGGCTGAAGGCCCAGAAGAAGACCATGACTCAGACTCTGAAACCGACACTCTGTCTACAGCGCCTAGGGTATGACGTGTTTGTATATTATATAAATCATTTTTTTATTAATTATGGCCAATATAATCTTGCCGTTATGTAATACCCATTAAGGGATCGAGTGAATTCCCAAAAAAAAAAAAGTTTCAGGCAAACAAAATTATGAAAATATTTTTTAAAAAGAGAATTTTGAAAAGTATTATTGTGTTTTCAGGAAAAACGAGATGATTTAATTAACCCTTATTGGATCGAAGATGCAGATCTGAAAAAGGGTGAAGTGGATTTCTTAACCCCTGCAGAAACGTCTTTCTGGAAAGATTTGATTGACAAATATTTATATCCTATTGATGCTAACAAGGAAGAGGAGGTAAAACAAATACTCATATTCGTAGACGCACAACTACGCATAACTGTTTAACAAATAACGTAGCCAGCAGAATTTTGAATAGAAATGGAGCTACATCATCTTTTTCCCTGTCAATTATGAAATGCGTAATAATTGTTTAAGTGAAGGAAATAACCTTGATTTAATTTGCATGCAGTTGTTTGTTTTTGATTTGATTAACATTATGAGGATAAAAAATTATATTATCTGAATATTAGACACTGTCTTACGCTTTCATCATAGAAGCAAAAACTCGCAGAGCAAAAAATATTATGTTTACAATGTTTATTTCATGGTGTATTAACAAGTTTCTCTTTCAGATTTATCTCTACTCTCTATTTAAATGAGTTATTCACAATTAAAAATTCATTATTATTATAATGTTTATCTTCCCAAATTTTAGGCTCGTATATCCAAGGATTTGAAAGAATTAAGAGATTCATCTGTCTTTTCCTTCTTTATGGTCAATGCCCTTTTTGTACTGATTGTGTTCTTACTGCAATTGAACAAGGACAACATTCACATTAAATGGCCCTTCGGAGTAAAAACTAATATTACGTACGATGAGATTTCTCAAGAGGTAACGTGAGAGTCCACTATGCAGCAATCGGCCTTCAACGATGACTTGGGACTACCCGTGGCTCGAGACACTTTGAGATGTAATCACTAGCAAATATCCCAGTCACCCTTGAAAGTTGATTCAATAATTATTATACTTTTGTTTTCTGTAATTTTTTTACAGACTCGAATTGCAAAGGATTTGGTCGAGCTTCGGAATAAGTCCGTTTTCGCGTTTGTTATGTTCAATGCTTTATTCATATTGATAGTATTTTTATTGCAACTCAACAAAGATAAACTCCACGTGGATTGGCCTTTGGGGATTAAGACAAATATAACGTACATCGAGGATACAGGCGAGGTATAGCCAAATGTTACCACCGAACGTGTGTCAATACACCAGCCTAACGACCTTCTTCTAACCGGTCTGTCTTGGGATGGCACAACCAGCATGGAGTCCAGGAGACAGAGAGGACTAAACACTCTGATGGTTTTACGTCTAATCTAAATCCACACCTTAAATCCCGCGTGATTCATTTCCACCCCAAATCTTTATAACCTAAATCGACTACGGCATTCGAATTTTGGACAATTCTTTATTTTAAAGTCCTTAGATCCATTGATGGATTATTCCTTTAAAATGTTGCTATCGATCATAAGATGTATCAACGCCCTTCTTCCTATCCAGTCCTACCATGCAGACTGTAAATGGAAAACCCTGCTCTTTACGTGTACCTTTACATTCCTTTGCTGTCTTCAAGCCGCAGTCGAATAAAACCGGTGTAATTTAAAAATGTAAAGATCATTCCTACCAACTATCGCACAGTTTCCAATCCAATTCACTGAGGAGTTAATGTTTCTGGTCTGTTTATTAAGGTGGCGGCATATTTTCTATTAAACACTAAAACAGGGACACTGGTTTCCTATGTATATAATTTACTTGTACTTGAACACTTTTCAAATGTGGTGATTTGCTTAACACCCTTAGTTTTCAAAATTTAAAAGTGGGCAAGACACCTGCAAAATTATAATTTGCATTGTGTGTTATGTGAATTCTTATTTTCCGTGTAAACATTCTTTCACACAATCGACCATTTTCTAAATTTAACATTTTAAGTATTTCCCAATACTTAACACTATTGGCACTTGTATATAACATAACCAGTGGATTTACTATGAACATAAATAATATAATGTTATTAAATGTGTGCTTTTTACTTTAATTTTATGTTATAAAACATTCAAATTTAAATTGGCTTTTTATATACACGTCATCGGCTGATGCGTAATTCACATTTGTTTTATTTTATAATTGTTTATAACTCGAATATGTTATAAATAACATCTCTTATGTATTTTCAGGTGTTGATCTCAAAAGAATATTTGCAATTGGAGCCTATTGGTTTAGTATTCGTATTCTTCTTCGCTTTGATCTTGGTCATACAATTCTCCGCTATGTTGTTCCATAGATTTGGAACCATATCACACATATTGGCATCTACAGAACTTAACTGGTTCTGTTCGAAAAAGGTAAAGATTTTATTTAGGAAAACTTTTTTTAAAAATATATAAGTTCATTTATTACCAGATACTGCAATTAAGGTTTTTAAATTTTGTTTAGTCTGAAGATTTATCTGAAAACGCACTATTGGATAAAAATGCAATAGCGATTGTAAAAGATCTGCAGAAGTTGAATGGGTTAGACGACGATTATGACAACGACTCGGGTTCAGGTCCGCAGAATGTGGGTAGAAGAAAGACTATACATAATTTGGAGAAGGCAAGACAGAAAAAGAGAAATATTGGTACGCTTGATGTGGCCTTTAAAAAGAGATTCTTCAATATGAACGCGAATGATGGTCCAGGTAACAATGTTATTGAGCTAATATAAAGTCTGTCACTAGCCATAATACGCGCGCCAAATAATTCTGCGCCAACGAAGTTAGCTGCAAATCGAATGTACGAGAGCAAACGAACGTACTGAGTATACAAATACATTTTATATACTGTTTGCGTGCATTATTAAGCTACAAACAATTAGGTAGTAAAAAAATTAAATTTATTAAATTCAGAATTGTAAAAACTTAACGTGAATGATTTAAATACTAAAGTGGCCAACAATTAAAATACATATTATGACGCTTTTGGTAACAAATCCGAACTACTTATATGAGCACATTATTATTGAATATACATTTCTAGAATTATGTTTAATATTTAGTCTATTAAGGTGGCAAATAACTCAATTATATCAATAATAGCAGCAAATCAAAAAGGTAGGTAGGAAATAACTACATTTATGTTTTATACCAGGCGTTCCGAGTATTAGAGCAATTTTTTTTTTTTTTTCCTTCTTTAAGTATATTATGTATAGTGCGGACAGTCACATCCGTAGCTGCCGCAGTTTGTTTAACGGAGGTAATTGTTTTAACAATAATAAAAAACGCAAAAAAAAACAGACAACAAACACAAATAACAACTATGTTAATAACAGTACGTTAGAGCAAAGCAACAAAATTACTTAATGCATTAGGGCTAGATACATGCCTTCCCGTCTCTTTAAGATGCACTGGACTTACCCCTCTGATACCTAATTTGATACGCAAACTTCGTTGGCGCGTTTTATATATATTTGGCAGTAAAAAAGTCCTACTAGTTTAGAGACTGAGAGTATTACTTTAAAGGCATATATGAGCGGCAAGACTGTCAGAAACATCCTTAAACCTTCGGATCACTATTTTTTCTAGATATTTAACTTCTGAAATGCTTAGAGTTCTATGCTTATACCATTCAACACTACTTATATGATATGTATGTAAAACAATAATTTACAGGTACACCAGTACTTAACCGTAAGATGACATTAAGACGAGAAACATTGAAGGCTTTAGAAACGAGAAGAAACTCGGTAATGGCAGAGAGAAGGAAATCTCATATGCAGACACTAGGTGCCAATAATGAATATGGAGTTGCCGGACTGGTAATTTGTTAAATTTATATACAACTATACCTTTTCAACATAAAAAATTGTCATAAGAACGTAACATCGCCTTTAATCGTAATTTTATACATTTTCAGCTCAACAATAACCTAGGTGTCGCCGCACCTCGTCATAGAACATCGACTGCCAATATATCCGTGAAAGATGTATTTAGTGAACCTAACGGAGGACAGATCAACCGGGGCTATGAGGCAACGCTGGGTGACGAAGACGAAACCAACTCACTAAGATTACAACCTAGACAAAATACAGTTTCCTTTCAGAGATTTTAAATGAAAGTTGCCAAACTAAACAAGCGCATAGATTAAAAAAGTGTAGATAATAGAAGAATGTACTTAGTAATGATTTACATTAAGAACTCGACAAACTAATGTTCGAGTATTGTACTGCTTGTGATATATAGGTACTTTGTTAGGTTGTGTGACAGCTGTATACACAGTCATATAAAAGTCCAATTTTGAACAATTTCAGCTTTATTATTAGATAAAACATACGAATTTACACTGCCACTTTACATTTATTTCTTTTTTATACCTATTAAAATAATATCTTTGTAATAAAGATTCTTATTTTAGCTCTTACAATATAGACTTTGAATTAGTATTGTAATAAATGAGATTAATTTAATTATGCACCTTTATTTATTACTGATTCCTGTTCCAAGAATTAATTAGAACTACATTGGTTTATGTTTACAAAGCATAAATGTACTTAATGAATCAATTTCTTAATACAGGGTTTTTGTAAAACAAATCCACACTTACTTAATTTTCTAAGAAAGAAACAAATTCAGTTAGCTTGAATAGCTGATCTTCGCTGGATGTGTGCAAAGGCGCAGGTTGAGTTGGAGGTGTTGGGGTGACTGTAACACCATCTTCATTGAGAGTCCATTTCCGATCTCTACAAACATGCAACACTGCATCTTTGCTCAGGCCAGTCATTGAAACAATTGTATCTATGGATATGGAGCTGTATGAGCGTCCTATTAAATTGAGTGTCCGTTCTCTAATTTTCTCTGAAAAATAAATTAAGAGAATGTTAAATATTGAAAATTGTTCTTGAGTTGTGAATGTTTTTATTTATATATTTTTAATTTGATAATAACTGCATCGTTATTTTTAAACCACATACACATACTTGTAGAAGAGTCATGCTTCGGCACAATGGGATGGCTTGACCAGAGGTCAATAACATATGAGGAGGTATATTAAGTGAGGTATCCGTGTGGTGATGGATTAAGAATACTGTGTCACCACCCTTATTTATCCTGTGGGTGTTGTAAGAACTGACTAAGGTAGTAAACTATGCAGGACCACAGCACTGCAAAGAGAAGGAAAACTTGAAACAAACCCTATACCAACCCGTCTGGTCAGTATCGTATATTAGGCAAAAGCCTCCTTTCTGAGAAGAGGCCTATGTCCAGCAGTGGACTAGTAAAGGCTGTTGATGTTGATGACGATTGATGAGTGAGGTTACAGGTTCCAAAGGCTCTTACCTCCTGGTTTTGGGGAGGGGGAAGACTTAAAGGGCAGCAACACACTTGTGATTGTCAGTTGCAGATGCCATGCTATGGGCAGCGGTATTCACTTACCATCAGGTGACCCATCTGCTTATTTGCCACCAGATCATAAAAAAATATTTTGAATAAGCATATATCAGAGACTTTAAGTGTAGGTGTCATTGATGTGTGAATGCCAAAGTTTTAATAATTAATATTTTGCAATAAATTAACAAAGAGCACACATGAAAAGCTAATTATGATATTCAAGATGAAATACGTAAGTATAGGATGATGAAAATTTGAATGTATTATTTTGTCTATGGAGATATTGTCACTTAGCAGTGTTCTTTCCAGCTAGGGATACTAAAAATGTCTAGAATATTACATAGTTAGAACAATAATTGATAGCTCAAATATAACTGAATTTTAGTACACAGTGTGGGGACCAGGGACCCCATTAAAGGGCAATGGTTTTTTCCGCAGTCTGGAAACGGAGCATTGAACATAAAGTTGTTTTACAAGAAGGTGATCTAAACTAAAACGGGACTGAAGCAGAAGCAATATCCGATTCTACAAAGGAGCCAAATACTTCTCAGACATATGCATACCTGAAGTAGTACCACCCATCACCCTACCAGCTGAAAATTTTACATTACCAGATAACAAGGCTTTTTGCAATTAAACTGAGATACTATGTAATATTTACCTTCTAATGCTCTTATAATATTAGCAATAGGCTCTGTCCAGTTGTAGGCAGCTAAGGCTTGATAAGTTCCAGGAAGGTCCTTCTTCCATAATTTCTGACCAACAAGCCATATGGCCCCTATTTCTGGATTACTAGATGTGATGTTTTGGGGAATTCTTTTCCATAAAAATTTTGCATTACAACTGCAATAAAAAATATTCAAATTATTATAACACTGAGTGGACACAAACTTATATAAAAAGTACACCTAATCCAAGATAGATGGTCATGTTGTAAAATGTATGTTTTTAATAATACATCGTTCAATTTTATTATACAACTGGTTTTAAGCTGTACCTTCATTCACGTTAATGTCTATTTTAATAATCAATTTTTTTGGTAAAAGTAACCATGTATTAATCCAGACTAGTTGGTCTTGTATATTCTTTGTACCAAATCTGTTTAGTCATTCTGGGTGTTTTACATATGTATTTAGATTCTTACAATACTTCTGTTATTCTAAGACAATTTGATATTGACTTGAACTAAACACTAACACTAGTAATTATTTTAATTTCTTTCACATGTTTTATGTCTTGTCCTACTTATTTTTATCTTGAGAATTTAAACAGAGATAACCTTTAATAAGCAACATACACAATTAGGAGATTGACAGAGAAAACACGCTTGGTCTGTACAGTATGCAATTTCCTACAAGCATTCTTTGATGAACATGAGCTGTAGCTTGATTTATAGAGATGATTCACTGAGGAGGCTACAGTGCCATATTTTTTTAAGTACCCATTTACTAGGGTAATTTAAAGTGCTATTTTCTTCCCCAAAGATAGTTTAGCATTTCAATATGGGATATATATATGTGTGTCAGGTTAAATATTGTTGGTTTGTTTAAGTAAGGTTATATAAACAAATAATACGCACAGATCATTTTGATACAGATATATGGCTAATAATTGAGCATATGTAGATGGTGATGCAATCCCGGTTGGTGCCTAAAAATGAAAATGAAATTAGACATACATTCTAGCACTACAATACATGCTTATTCATTTGATATTAAGTTTTACTTCTAATTCCTGTTTTTCCAGATCCCCACACAGTTTATCGAAATTAGTTATCATATCGGACAACTGTAATTCCACAAATTTATTATTGAAAGAATTTTTTATAATTATTTCAATGCAACACACTGTTCTGGTTCTGTTATGACTTATGACAAATTAGACAACACAGATAGCTTTAAGCTAGCCATCACGATATATTCCACAGAACATATATACCCCTAAAGGCTACCTAAAGGGGATATATTCACAATATAAATATGACAAGTTAGTGTTGCCCTTTTCTATATTTCAAAAAATCCTCCGAGTAGAGATGAAATTACCATATTTAAAAAAAAGGCTTAGTCTACAAATTATTATTATTTCAATCGTTAAATTTCGTCGAACTGATTTCGATCTTTAAGTAGGTTGTAGGTATCTCTTATATTTTTATCATTGGTCACAGAATATAATAAAAATGGCACGTCAATATGAATTGACACAATTTTCTGTTTTAAAGTGCTGCTCACGAATGCCACCTTCCACCTTCCCTAAAAATATCTATGTCTATTCACATCAGTTCTTTTTAGTGTAGTGATTCCGTCTTACCTCATTTTTAAGCAGCATTTGAGTACTGCAGTAAGGGGAGAGCCTGACTTATTGTTGGCAGGGGCGGTTCATAACTTTGCAGGGACTGTGAGCAACACTTATCGGGGTCAGCTAATTGTGAGCTTACCTATATAAGCAAAGGAGGCATCCATTAATTACAATAACTGACTTTAGTGATGTTTTTACTCTTCCTCCGTCTTTGTGAGATATCATAAGATGTGGCTCGATGATCGAGCGATCGATCGATTAGAGGAAAGGGAACGGCATCGAGTCTTCCCTTTTCTCTACTTCAATAATACTACTCATTATCTCATTTGATTTTTTAAATACGTATTTTAAATGAAGGTCCGATTCCCGGTTTGGACCAAATGTTTGTATGCTCTGCAAATATTTGTTTCGCAGTCTGGATGTTGTCTATGTATAACATTTACGTGTTTACAAAAAAAGGTTAGGAATATTCTATTAGTCAAGTTAGCTTTCTTAGTATCAGCTCTGCTTAGTTTGAAACTAGATGGCGTTGTGTGTCAGATGTACGAATTTTTTTTTATTACTATTATTAAGTGTTAATCTGTACTAAATATAGTACGTTATTGTAATTAATTCTGATATCTGCAGGAAATGACCCAAAGTAATTGCAAGTTGGTCAAAAAAATTACTATCAAAAGGAAACAAAACATCAATTTCATTTGACTTGGTAAATAAATTGTTCAAGATCACATTTAGTACAGGCTGTGCCGCGCATTAAAACTATATTTAGAAAAAAGGAACTGGTTGGTTTTTTACTTGATAATTCCTTATTGTCCCAATCTTGGATTATGGTAATGTATTCTATTAGAACTTGAATGCAGACCTACTTAATAAATGTGACCGCCTTCTGAATAACTGCAAATATGACCATGTTTCATCCTTTCGTCAGCGCCGTCAGCTGCGCGCCCTCACCACCCTCTACTCTATTCTCAATTTGCACATTTCACCCTCCTACCTGACATCATAATTCCAATATCTGTGTTCTAAAAGCGATAGAACCCTCCGCTCATCAAACAATCGTCTTCTGCTATGCCCTACTCATACTACCGCTTGTGTCCACTCCTCGTTCCTAATCCAATCCGTAGGCACTCTTCTAGAATGTTCTTCCGTAAAATTCACAAAAATGAGGTCGAATGGAGAACACACTTCTTTTGAAGTCGGTAAAGACAAGAGAAACCTTCAGATTTTATTAATTAAACTCTTATTCACTTTGATAACGAGTTGCTTTAATAGTGCCATTACTGCTAAAACAACTACTCTGTCTCCACTTTTCAAGTACTGATCCCAGCGTAATTTTACTTACCTGCATAATAACTTTATTCACTGTCTTAGACGTCAAACACAATTTTTTTTTTATGAACTAAAGATATTTTGAATTTGAATATGAAGATGTAGCCTAGGGATATAAAAGGGGTCCTTATAAAAAAAAGGGGATTTAAAAAACCCGGAAGTCGTTTGAGATAAAGACCTGAAAATAATTTTTATTCGACACAAAAATGATCCCCCAAGTACGGCCCAAGTAAGTTTCCCCAAGTAAGTTGCTTAAGGTAGAAAGGAGGACGTAAGTGCAGGTTTGAAGGTACTATCGGTCCGGAAATACCGCAGGTAAGAATATGTTACATAATACGGTTGGGCGAAACAAAAAAATTCTCGAAAAGCGTACAGTGGAGTGCCTATTTTCCAAATGATGGAGATGAAAGTGGAACGATGGCGGAAAGTTGCGGCCGGTATTAGTCTTGTATTTGCTGAGTGCTTGAGCGATTGAATTTCAGCAACATGCGCTTTCTTTGATGTTTACTGCCAAAATCGAAAACACTGTTCCCAAAATTTGTTTACAATTTTTGTTGCTACCAATAACAATACAATACAATATAAAAATTAGCAATGTGTTCCTTTCAAATTTAAACCTTCATATTATAAGGAAAATGAAATATGAAGGTGTTTATAGCCAGGTACTTTAGTGATTACAAAGTAACTAATGTGGGTACTTAGTGCTTCCAGTGTTACGTTGATTGATATATGGTGATTACCTTACGACATAATCGATTAATCTTACCGCAATCCAGTTTAGTAATGAGCTCTAAAACTACATGATGTAAAACTATATGCAAGAATTTGTAAGGTTTTTTTCATGAGTACTAAGGATGGCTGCACACAAATATAACGACATGACACTTGCTGCTTTTAAGTATAGCTGCTTTTTATTACCAAGACACCAGACAAATACAGTCCGTGTCATACCTACGTTAAATCAAATCGCGGTGCAAATAGCAGTAAGTAACAATATCTGAGGCCGATCTTCCGCGCTTGTTGTGTGGTGGCAGCTAGGGGATGGGAAGGGACCAATAATAAGATTTTCTTAAACCGTATTTTAATATTGGGGGCGCAAGGGGACGGGGACATTTTAGTGAATTCAAGATCCACGACAGTTTTCAGGTCTTTTGCTGGGGCCTCGGGTGTACCTTAGAAAGATATTCCTGAGAATCACGGTACGTCATTGTAGGAAATTCATTACCTCTAAGTAGGTATTAACTCTTGCGACTCAAGCCTTTGTAGACAACATAACATTTCCTTATTGCAAGATTAATTTTATAATCTTCATGGCCCAGATTTTTATAATCGTATTTCACGGTTATTGATCGAGGGCCTGGGCGGGCTTGCCAGTCGACTTGTCTACTCGTATATTGCATCACAATAGGTCGGTGAGCACAACCGGTGGTGATGGACTAAAATGCTGAGTCACTATTCAATATTGTCGCTCACTATGTTAATTTTATCGTTATGCTTGTATCAATTTGCATACTAATGCTTTTGATTGTACAAAATCGCGTTCTTATTTGTTTATACTAATATCTTGAGGAAATTAAAGTGGGTGTGCTGTGTAGTACTAGTTCGTGCGGTGATATTGTAAAAATAAAATAATAACATTGTTTGTGCTACCGCGTAGTCAACTACTTTCCTGAGAGTCGGAAATGTTACCTCAAGAAAAGTCCAAACTGTTCTGATCACATTTTCATGGAAACCAGCATATTCTAGGGTCGATCGCAGGTACCTATGGAAACTGCTTGTGTCGAGTCGCAGAAATTGTAACCAATTCAGTTAGATGAAGTAATAGGCTTTCTAATTGTAATTAAAGTACTTAATAGAAAACTGTAATTTGACTCTGGACTCTGGCTGCGGGTGGAAGGGACGGGTTTTCCCCTCAACCCACCATTATGACCAGGCGCGAAGAAGCGATATCTACGTGTGCTGGACGTGCCCAAAATAAAAGATTTAACCCGAAGCTGGTGCGCTCGCTATCCGGCCCGGATGTCTTAATAATAGCTTTTCCCGGATCCCTCTTATTTCAGGCGCAGAGTGGCACAACGTGTCGGTTTGATTCCAACACACCGCCCCGCCGCAAATCATCGTGGGGTGACGCCCCGAGGGGGTTTCTAAAGGGGAGTAAAGAAAAAGGTTAGAACTGCGACCCCAAGCGCCACAAAAATGGTTTTAGTGAACGCTTGGGGTTGGGAAAACGGATACCAACTATTTCTATGAAATTAATATCGAAGCTTTCTTAAAGTTAATATTCTTCGTATTGATTATTCTATGGAATAATAGGTACTATGAGATTTTTTTTGTGTGAATTTTTTGTGTGAAACGCAATCCTATAAAACTATTTTCTATAAAACAACGTACAACCACATGAGTAGCTCAGGAAATGTGATTTTATTATACTTCGTGCAACGTGGCAATATCTATTGCTAAAGCTAATTGTCGTAAAATTTCATACAGCCAATCCCAATGCATTCAATTTTTATTAGAGCATTAATCATGATGTACCATAAACTTTATGTATCGGTCATGAGCTTCATTAATTACATAAATTAACGCGCGCTTAATAAAACTAAATGTTAATGTACAATTATGAATAGAAATTATCTGCAAGAATATTAAAATAAATTAAATAACCCTTACAAAGTAAGAATATTAATCCTCCACGACAACAGTGTCTTTTGGTGAAGGAATTGGTAAATATGTCAAGACTTTTGGTCAATTCAACTTATCTAAAGATTCAATAACGAAGTTAATATCCCATTAGGTCCCACAATACAATCTCATAAAACAAGCCATTAGGTAGATACTTGTTTTCACGTTGGTGTAACTATTATTCACACATAAAGGAATATACGAGTACGGTACTCACAATAAACGTAACTGTAGATTGTCATACTAAGGTAACAAACTGCCTAATGCGAGTTTTATTATATTATATGATAATTAAGCACTCACTACTAGGGTACATACTACTTTTGTATTTATTATTTTTGTTACTTGATAATGCGATCCTCATTTGTAAAATCATAAAAGCGATTTTTAGGGTTACCGTTTACAGTTATTTCTAAATTATGATTATCATCAGGTGTTTTAAGGTAATCGCTATTAAAGTAAATAGACATTTA